AGCTGGATGAACACAGCAGGCCAAGCAGCATCAGAGGAGCAGGAAGGTGACGTTTCGGGCCTAGACCCTTCTTCAGAAATGGGGGAGGGGTAGGGGGTCTAGGCCTGAAACGTCAGCTTTCCTGCTCCTCTGATGCTGCTTGGCCTGCCGTGTTCATCCAGCTCTACACCTTGTTACCACGCACAGTGTAACTGACTAAATAATCTAATTACAGTCCAAAACTAAATGAGATTCACAAATGTTGCCGACAGCAGATATATATCCAACAGTTCCAATAGCAAATGAGGATTCATCGTGGAACCTCTTGTTGATGGTAAATGGATGTTTCTGAATTTTGAGAATTAGATACATGCAGTAGATCAGACATTGTTTGATAAACCCCCTGTGAGTGTTATGCCAAATTAACCATGCTACACGCCATTGCTTGTGATTTCCACACCCCATCACATGTACACACCTACACATACACCTTATATTCACATTTATACAAGTATACACTGACAATCACACACACATACTCACTTATAGACAGATCAACAAACTATAGCTTTGCTGAATTACTACTGAACCAGATCAATATAAATAAACTGTTTGTCAATAACTTGCTGCTTACTAAATTAATCTGTTGTATTATTTCTGTTCTATGCTTTGTGTTGTTCTACCAATGCTGTTCTGTAATGCATGACAGGGCTTTGTAAGATGATAATTGTATTATGAAGTATGAATGGCAGTCAGCTCTGTTCAACTCTCTGGAGCTGTGCTGTGCCCTGACCTTTGCCACTTGCAGGGATATTACTGCAGTCCTGAGAGTTGTTGGTGAGCTGCAGAATATAAACCTACTCCCTTCTGATCATTCTCGCACAGAACGGAAACACATGTGCAGGGCTGTCACGTGAAACTTGTTTTCTTGGTTTGAAGCTGAAGTTTTGCTTGCGCACTAGCTGAAGGACTGCCAACCTGTGAGAGAGAGTGGACATCATATATGGCAGCAAGCATTCACAATGATGGAGGTATCAGCTGGCCCTGTTAACCAGCTGGGTCAGACAGGCTGACTCCCACACAAACCATTCCCCTTAACCAGATGATACTAAATAAAGGAGACAATGTTTACCCAACACCTCATTTCAGTGAGAGAGTATGCGTGAGTGAGTGTTTATGTGTGTGAGAGAGTGTTTATGTGTGTGAGAGAGTTTGAGAGTGAGAGAATGTGTGTGTGAGAGAATGTCTGAGTGTGTTGAGAGAGTGTGTGTGTGAGTGAGAGAGTGTGTTTGAGTGTGTGAGAGTGTGTTTAAGTGTGTGTGTGTGTGAGAGAGAAAGAGAGATTATGTAAGAGTGTGAATGTGTATGTGTGTGAGAGAGGGAATGTATGGTGATGGACAGTGTGAGAGAAAGGGTATGAGAGACAGCATGAGAAAGAGTGTGTTTGTGTGTGAGACAGATGTGAAAAATAGTGTGTGTAAGTGAATGAGATTGTATGTGTGTATGTGTGCACACGCATGCTCTTGAGAGGTGTGTATGAAGTAGGATTATGGGTAATCTAAGATGGAGGACAGGAAAAAAAAATTGTGGATGTAAGAGTTGCTCCTTTTTGAGGTATTTTCAGTGTTGGAGCTGATTTCCTCAAATCTAGGAGGGGTAATTACTGTTTTATAAGGTGTTGCATTGTTTTGGAACTCTGGAGAAAAAGATCAATACAACGGCACTTTTAAAAAGGAGGAAGGGAGACAAAGGCAGTGACCACTTACTGGGAGGTGAATCAATGGAGAAAAAAACCTACACTGCTGTCTGACCCAGCAATGAACCTTCACAGCTACTGCCCCTGCTGTTTGATTTCAAGTACCTCTGGATAACTGAGTTCGTCTAAGAAAAATAAACAAACAGCAAAATTCACAGTTGATCTTGGAGAAACCTGTGTGGGGAGATCGCAGCAGGGGAGCAGTTAAGTGGCTAGTTTTTGTTTGTAAATCTACATTGGTGAGTAGAGTGTGTTCTATTTTGATTATATGTTTTTATTGAGATCTGTCTCTTAATTAAACTTTGAAAATATAAAGCATAGGTACTAAGTTAGCCTGGAGCAGTGTTTTTTAGAGCAGTAAGTCTGTGCTATTTTCTGGGTCTGTAGATTGTTAAGATGCGAAGATGGCCATTAGTAGAGTGATGTGCTCTTCCTGTTGGATGTGGGAGATTAGGGAGAGGTTTCATGTTACTGATGATTACTTATGCAGGAAGCGTGTTTGGTTGTGAATCCTATCGGATTACGTGGATCGGGTGGAGCCGCAGATAGAGGCAATGAGGGATTTACAGGAACTGGGGATGTGATGGATGGCAGTTGCAGGAAGGGAGATAAACTGAACATACAGTCAGGTAGATGGGGGACTTCCAGGAAAGGTAGAAGAGGGAGGCAGGTCACGTAGGAGTCTCTTGTCGCTATCCCCATCTCAAACAAATATGCTGTTTTGGAAAATGTAGGGGTAATGGACTCTCAGAGGAATGTAGCACTGACAGTCAGGTTTCTGGTACTAAGGCTGGCTCTAATGTAATGAGGGGTATGTCAGGTTACAAGCAGTCAATTGTGTCGAGGACTCTCTAGTCAGAGGCACAGACAGAGGTTTGCGGCCGACAGCGAGACATCAGAATGCCAGGGTCAAAGATATCTTGGAGAGGGTGCAGAATATTCTCAAAGGTGAGAGGAACCAGCAGGAGGTTGTTGTACACATTGGAACTAATCACATAGAGGAGATAATCGAGAATCTGAGAGAATACAGGAAGTTTGGCAGGAATTTAAAAAGGACTTCAAGGGTAGTCGGATCTGGATTAATCCCAAAGCCACGAGTCAGTGAGGGTAGGAATAGGAGGATAGAGCAGATGAATGCATGACTGAGGAGCTGGTGCTGGGGAAAAGGATTCACATTTTTGGATCAGTGGAATCTCTTCTGGGGTAGAATTGACTTGTATAAGAGGGATGGATTGCACCTGGATTGGAAGGGGACTAATATACTGGTGGGGAGATTTACTAGAGCTGCTCAGGAGGATTTAAACTAGGAAGGGGAGGGTGG